GATCTTTCTTGACACCAGCGGCTAATTTGGTCTAGACACGTTGTGATCCGACTTTTGATGCCTCCATTTCTTACTATATTCGGGTTGACCATTTGGGTTTTTACTTCTTTCTGTTGATGCAAGGATGGATTAGCTTGTATTGGATTGTAAATTTATAATAGGATATTCCGAATCATTTCCCTTTGCCCTTCCCCTACGCCAAAAGTGAGGCGGCCAAGTATCCTCCCATCGGATCCTGTTTCTACCTTTTCATCATCGACCCATTTCCGGCATTTTCGTCGCTTTCTTTTCTCCTACTTTTTTTTCGACCTATTCGATATGACCTAGGTTAACCAAGTTAAACAAGTTATTGTAGTCGCTGGCTGCCTATCGTTTTCAGCATGTTTTACTCCATTGGAGAAAATGCCTTGACGTGGATTAGCTCCGATATTGCGTTTGGGATGGGATTCTTTTAACCATGCCATGGCAAGAGTTGATCATCTTGTTCTCATCTTCGTCTCGATGGATAGGCCTTTTTGGACATGCATTTCATCATGATTGATTGTCGACATTGATCTGCAAGTCTAGAACTTTATTTTAGAGCTGTTATTGTGGGGATTTTCTGGCGATCACGACTAGCAATATGTTGTATCATTCACTGGGCAGGTTAGTGATCGAGTTAAACATGTCTGTCCTTGTCCTTGATGGTTCGATGGACTTTTTGGCTTGATACTATACAAGTCTGGAAATACGAATCATCCTATTGACAAGATTGCTAACTTGAGAATGGCCTATCTACCTAGTCATGTCAACTTTATGAGTGCTAATGATGATGCAGACAAGATCTGTCTTTGCATGGTGGAGAAAATGATAGCTCGTACGATAGGGTAGCTAACATGGGAATGAGGTCTATCCATCTAGCGATGGAGATGAACGTATTTGCTGGGCATTTATCCCCATGATGATATGGACAAAATTGAATCTTTGCATGATGACAAAAGGCTAGCTAGATCCGACAGTAATAGGCTTGCAAGGAAGTTGAACAGGTTTGATCAATCGCCATCATGCCATGGACAACATCAATCTTGCATGATGGCAAAAGGCCATTCCATCGTGCAATGGAGATGAGCATATTTGTGCTGTAAGACTAATGCCAATCGTGGCATGATGCCAAATTGGGCAAGATTTCAAGGATGAGATGAGCCTTTCCTTGTAGCGATCGAGAGTTGAACTTGGTTATGAATCTCAATCATGATGTGAACAAGATTAGATGCTCGAGTTGGATCGACAGCAGCTCTCCATGGAGAAAGAAAAGAAGAGTTTATTAATTGATCCTTCAGCAGCTATTTTCCATAATCACCGCCATCCTCTTCGATAGTCTATCCAAGGCTGAGAGTGGTTGGGTAGCCATATTGAGTTGACTTCAGAAATACAGTATCTGATGATGGACTTTTGACTTTGAAAAATGACATCCGCTATCTGGAATAGAAAGCAGGAATAGCAAGCTGTCGATGATGGGAATAACGTTGATGAATCTGTTGCGTGAGGTTTAGTCTTACATTGGAGCCAAGTACAATCTCCATCTGAAGATGGCAATGATGGAATAGCCTTAGTTCATTTAAATTGTATTCATCTTGAATCGATGCTAAGTAAAAATGATGACATTCCTCTCCAATTAGAGAGGATGGAATAACGTTGGCTGATGCCATTTCATAAATTTTCAGTTGGAGCCATTGCACATTCATCTCAAGCTGGAGGGGATGGAATAACGTTGATTGATCTCATTGCATGAGTTTGGAATTGGATTTCAGTACAATCTCATATCCATCTCTAACGGATGGTGATGGCATAACGTTGGTTAATCGCCATTTCCTCAATCAGTGCTAAGTAAAAAACGATGACATTGATCTCCACCTAGGGATGGTGATGGCATAACATTGGTTAATCGCCATTTCCTCAATCAGTGCTAAGTAAAAAACGATGACATTGATCTCCACCTAGGGATGGTGATGGCATAATGTTGGTTAATCGCCATTTCCTCAATCAGTGTTAAGTAAAAACGACATGGATCTCCACCTACAAATGGTGCTGGCTTAACGTTGGTTCATGCCATTGGATGAATCTTCCATGAAGTACCAAGTAAAAATGATGGCATACATCTCCAGCTAGAGATGATGCATGAATGCTGGTTAATCCAATTGCACGAGTCTTCAATTAGAGCAAAGTACAATCTCCTATCCACCGTAAATTGGAGAGGATGGCATAACGTTGACTGATCTAATTGCAAGAATCTTGAATATGAGCAAAGTACAATCTCATACCCATCTCCAGCTACAGATGATGGAATAATGGTGGTTAATCCAATGGGATCAGTCAGTGAACAGTTAATTAGTGCTAAGTAAAACATGGATTGCTCCTTGTCCTCTTCATCTCAAGTTGGAAGCGATGGAAGAACGCCATGTTTTGCCCCAATGAAGATTGACACAAGGCTAATTACATTAGCTCTCAATGAATTGTTAGTATCGAGGCCTACCTCAACTGTGATTGATTTACTGTATAAAAAGGATCCATTTCGTTGTATTTATTGATAGCCAGCGGAAGAAAATTCAATCTTGCCCGACATGTCAACATCCATGATGGGATAAAAGCAATCCAAGTGTACTTGAGAGATTATCTTCATCCAGTACTTGCACAAATCGACATCAATGATGGCGATCTATTCCTAGTAGACAGATGGATATGAGAAGAGGTTGTTTGGCTATAGAAGAGTCCATCTTGATTTGTTTAAAAGATGTAACTAGCGTCGGAAATAGAAGTACTCTTGTGTTGAGAGATGTTGGATTGTCAAATCATAGTTGATCGATGAACATTTGAACATGTTGTTGATGCCATGGGAAGAGGTTGTTTGGCTACAAAATGTCTGTCTTGATTTGCTCAAAAGATACAGCTATAGCCCGAAATAAGAGTGCTGTTGAGGGATATCGAGATTGCCAAGAACAGGACAATCTCATCCAACCTTGTCAAGATCAATATTGACGATCCATTTCTAGTGGATTGATGACCATTTGAACAAGTTACTTGTCCATAGAAAATATCCATCTTAACTTCAATTGCATCAATTGTACAGTCGAGGGATGTTGGATGGGGATTACCAAGAAAGAAAAATCTTCTCGACCATGTCGACATGAATATGAACAGTTTGTTGCTAGCGGAGGAGGCTTGTGTATATTGCAATCAGCTCCATCCATTGATGTCCTTTCCATCACTGGATTTATAAACTAGATGATGATGAGAAGATTGGCATTCTTTCTCACTCTCCCTTGAGAAAAATAAGTGGATTGTCTTAGTCATCATCCCCCACGATTCCTGCTCAATTTACTTTCATCCATGGAATGGATGAAAGTAAAAGGGATTCCCTAATGACGCAGGGAAAACTATTCGTGTGTTGTTCATGTTATGGCTCAATCATAGCCATGTCGATTATGATGGACGTTGTTCATCAATGATTCATGATTAATGCCATGTTATGACTCATCCATTCTTGCAATGGCGTCTTGGCTATCAAATGTTAATCCTGTCTTGCAGCCCAATTCCAATTGAACTACAGTCTCCTCATCATCGCCATTGGTCAGCCATCCTTAACATTAAATCTTGGGTTTGATTTCAAGCTGAACAATCATCTAATCATCTTATTGATTCTTCGTCTCTTCCAATCCTACATGGCAAGCTCATTTCATAAACTGCTGTCCCCATCATCATCTTAATTTCTCATCCATTCTCCCCCCACACTCTTCTTTCCATCTTCATTCCCAATAGTTCATTTTCAAGCTCCACTACCATTGAATAAGAATGTAGATTCCTCCTTGATTCTTCTCCATGTCTCTCTTTTCAGTAGGAAATATTACAGTTAAATAAGAATGTTGATCCTTCTTCTATTCTTCAAGGCCTCTCTTTCAGTATGAGTTCTCACGCTCAATTGTCGTTGAATTAGAAGAATGATTCCTCATCCATTTATCGAGATGTTTCTTTTGAGTGATAGACTGAAATAGGAAAGCTCATTTCAAGCTTTGGCTGTCGTTGAATAAGAATGTTGATTCCTTGTCCATTCTTGCCAACGTCCCTTTTCAATTTTACACCTCAAATTAGCCTTTTCAAGAATGTGCATTCCTCGTCCATTTTTTCAAATGTCTTCATTTCAGTTCTAAATTTGTAATAGGAAATTTCATTTGAAGTTCTACTGCAGTCGAACCAGCATGTTGATTCCTTCATTCTTCTTCTTAATAACGTCTGTTGAATCATTTCCAGCTCCACTGCAGTTCCTTCTCCATTCTTGGAGAGCCCACTGTCGGTAGCTCAGCTTAAGCACCACTGGCGTTGACAAACACAATATCCATTCCTCGTTTTATGTAACTTTCCAAATAGAATAACAATGTCGTAATAGGATTAGTAGGACATAATGTTGTCATCTTCTCACCCCTTGATTTTATTTTTACAAGCTGCAATGGCTTGCAATCACAATCACTCCAGTAAACCTTTGACGATAGCATCCAACTGTCAATCATGCCATTTCTTGACAGGCTGATTTCCGGTCGAAGAATAACCAGACATGGATCATCCGTTGATATTGCATTTCCAATAAGTTTGCATCAATAGATGGCCATCATCCAAGACTTTTTTTTACCCATATAAGGGTTGAAATAACAACTAGCTCCAGGAATGTTGTGCAAATCATGACAGCTTAGCGCTAGATGATGCAATCGTCAATTCCAACACCTTGCTGTCTTTTCCCATCATCATTTCTAATCCTTATTGTTTTGCTTAACTTGTATACCCTTGGAAAGCTCAATTTGTGGCTATTTAACATCATTTCCATCCTCGATTTTACGCATAGTTGTCGACACGGAGTGGTCACCATTGCAAGTTATCGGCATTAATCGTTTTGATCTGATGAGATTAAAGTTTTGATGAGCGTTCTTTAGGTTGTCTTGAAAATCATTATCCATTCGTTCGTTGGGAATATCATGTCTGTTTTACTCCTAGTCGGTAAGATGAAGATGTTAAACATGCTAAAAATGAAGATACTCGTTGTAGGCGATCATCGTCACTTGACATTACCATCCACTATTCGCCATTTCCTATCCTTTTTCTTATTTTAACTAACAGCCATTCCCATTTGAACCTTAACGACGGTAGTACGGGTGGATTGTTTCTTGATCCTAGCCATCATTTTTTTTTGGAGGGGTAGGGAGATCATGTCTTCCATGAGAAATCTATTTCAACGACAGTAGCACGAATGGATTGCTTCTTGACCCTAGCCATCGCTCCACTTTATCCTCCTGTCCGTGTGCCATCAATCCATCATTCATTTGGATGCTTTTCCATTTTAACAACGGTAGCAAGAGAGATTGCTTCTTGACTCTAGTTGTCGCTCCAATTTGTGCCTAGGCCATCATTCATTTGGATGCTTTTCTATTTTACCAACGGTAGCAAGAGAAATTGCTTCTTGACTCTAGCTATCGCTCCACTTTGTGTCTAGGCCATCATTCATTTGGATTTTAACAACGCGGTAGCAAGAGAGATTGCTTCTTGATTCTAGCTATCGCTCCAATTTGTGTCTAGGCCATCATTCATTTGGGTGCTTTTCCATTTTAACAACGGTAGCGAGCAAGATTGCTTCTTGACCATAGCTGAATGTCTCCAATTGCTTGTCAAGGCTTTGCAAGAAAGGAGAAAGATACCTTAATCCTTGTCCATAAAATCATACCAGTAATCTTGGGCCATAAAATATCTCCAAACTAGACGACAACAGCTTGCCTTTCTTGCTCGCTGGACTGTATACTTTTATGACCTGCGGAGTGCAGACACTTGCGCACAGTCTTTCCTTCGAAGAAACAGCAAAATCAATGGAGGGGGGGGGGCTGTATTAGTATTGCCAGATGCAAATAAATCATCATCTTTTGCTATAGTAGACAGTCAATCTTGAATGCAAGGAATAAAGCTCAATTCTTCGCTTTTTCTTCCTCCTACAGATGTCGATAGCAGCAAGTTTCTTTCAATGGAGAATGGTCTGAAATCTGGCGTAGTCGCTCAAGTTGACAAAGAGGTAATATCGTTCTTAAAGTTTCTTCATAATGAGTAAATTGTCTACTAGCAGCTACTTAAAAGCTTACATCAACTACTCCATTTGAAGTAACGTGTAAAAACTAGTAGATTAGTTTACTTTAACTACAGTACTGTATAGCGACCGTCAAAGAGGATATCGACAAGAAATGCATTTGTCTTTCTCTATCTCCATCTAGCTAGTAAAAATGAACACACAGAGCTTGATTTACTAATGAAAACTACTATACTTACTGAAAAAGTAGATACTTCGACAATATTTTATACGCTTTAAAATAATCCATATTTTCTACCTCCATCGCTATATAGCTACTTAAAAGCTTAGATCAAGAACTTGATTTGCTATCCCAGCAAAACGAGCAGTTACAGAAAGATTTAGAAAGTTTGCAAGTAAGTAAAGCATCATCAATACCACCTTAAAAATCAAGAAACAACTAGCATTCAACAACCATGATATCGTTATTCTACGCTTACTTTATTGTCTGTAGTTGGCTGGCAGCACACAAAGTTTGGACTCTAAAAATTTAGGACAAATTCAACATGAAGCAATCAATCAAACAAAGTCATTAATTAATTTACCATCCAAGGCAATCTTTAATATTGGCCATAACGATGCTACTCGTGTACAATCTTCCCCCGAATTGCCAAGAATTAGTAAAAACCAAATTGTCAATGTCACAGGTATAGCAGTAGAATACCAATCAATGACTTTAGCAATAACATCCAGTACAAAAATTGCCTTGCTTTATCCCTTCTTACAAAAATATTTCCTTTTCATACTGTAGAAAAAGATGCAGGAGAAGCTTGCCAATGGCTCAAATTTACGGGTTTCTCTCGTTATGCTCGAGCCTATGAAGGTATGTAGCATGCATGATCGAGCTCTCTCACAACACAGTCGTTGTAATCATAACATGTCTACGCAAAGATGGAAAATTTACACGTAGCTTATTTTATGTTATGGATATGTTATATATGTTGTACCAATTTCCAATCCATGTCTTCATTTAGACGGACAATTTCCCATCGACATTGCAACTGTTAAAAAAGATAACAGTTTCATGGATGCTAGCTCAATTAATGCTGTCATTCGGTAAGATCATAAAAGGGCATCATGATTGAAGAAGGATATTGTTGTAAAATTAAAATTCTACCATAGCTAATTCTCAATGTTTTCATTTATTTCTACCCTTAAAATGTGGCATAGGCGAATCAACCTATTAAATCAATATGTCAACGATAACACTAAAAGTTTAACTCCAAATTCAAGTAGTCATACCTTAACAGATACCAACCTAGCAAAGCCATCATCACTAGATAAAGTAGATTCTCAACAAGCTTCTCATACCTCTTCAATTACTAAATTTTCAACTACATCTAAGCTCGATATCCCTCAACAAACAGATCGACGTAAACCGGATAGAGCATTTACAATTTCTTCTTTCGATAAAAATATCAGGAAGCCTTTTGTAGTTGAACCAGTAGTGAAAGGAAATAAAAACGAACTTGTTGCCTTATCCAGTCGATTTCAAGATAGATCTAAAGCCAGTGCTATACCTCCCAAATTTCCCGTTTATGACATTATGACACAAATTTCCGATTTTCCCGATAAAGCAGCTGGCTATGATAACTGTATTCAGTCACCAGAGGTTATACGCACCTCTAGTGTGGGTTCCAATTATTCAAAACGCCCTACCAAGAATTATAATCGAACATGGAATGGTGATACTAGCAAAAATTTAGCAAAGAGTTTGCTGAATGTCCGTCAAATGGATCCTTCCGACACCAACATTGGGAGTGATTCTATTTCTCGATCGTCGGTTGATATTCACAGCACATCGAGGACAACACAAAGATCGACAGAGTTGGAATCGAGTGAGCAAAGTAAAACTATAACGATATCCAATAATAGGATGTCTAACATGGCTCAAAGTGGGCACAAAAAACCACGCAATAAGTTTATTGAAAGTAGATTTGGACTTTATGGAATGAACGCCAACAAAAGTATTACTGGATCATTTCCCCTATTATACAATAAAAGGATTGAAAATACGAAAGATCGATACCATGCTAGGTCGTCGAGTGGAGGTGATGACTATGCAAAGAGAGATTTACCATTTATGGATGGTCATAGCAATCTAAATATAGGAAAAGACAACGATGCAACAGCTGAAAGTAACAACCAGCTATCGAAAGCTTCATTGTCTAGTAGTCAAAAGTCTGCCAGTTTAGCTGACTTGGTTGTTCTACAAGATGATTCAAGTGACCTGGAAGGTTTGTGACAGTGTCATCGTTGCCTCTATCGTTATTCTACATGGATATTGTTGTAGTTACGCATTCGCTTTCTATGACTTTTAATACCTCTATACAGGGCACAAAAAGAGTTCTATGGAGTTATCCGATCGGGTCGAAACAGATTCAGATTCCAGCGATCCCAACCTACTTGATTCAAACAGTCATCGATTTCATGATGCCGTTGTTTTACGTAAAGATTCCCATGCTTTACGTCAGCCAAGGTTTGATTATATTATTTATAGGTCAATGTTTCTTTTAATGCCATGAAATAATATACCAATGATGTAGTTATGGCTTGGTATATTTACCCCTATGTTTATGTTTATTTCTTGTAGTCTTGCACATCGTGTTAGCAAGAAAAGCTCAAAATGGCATCCATTTGGACGTGCTGTTGTCCCTGTTAAGATGGAAAGGTAAATACATAGAATTCCTACTCTCAGTCTTATATCTATATTTAACGGCCAAGGTATCATGCCTTCTTTATTTCTTCTATTTAGGGACTTTAGCCTCAGTGAATTAACAGCCGGCCAATTTGCTGCTGTGCAAAAGTTTGCCTTTAGTAAACTTACGGAAATGTTAGAAAATCAATCATCGACTAAGCAGACTTTAGATAGGTAATTTTATGGCTCTAACTTAGACATTTTCATCTTTACCCAATCAGTGAACCTAACAGTTAATAAAATCATTCTCAATATCATTAATTAGGCTACTGCCATCCAAACTTGTTCGCAAAAGACCAAAAAATGAATCCAGAGGTACTACAAGATTAATGTATAATGACCACCATACAAGTCTATTTTTTTCCTCGCACTCAATACTGTATTTTAATTTCTAGTCGAATCATATGTAAATTAAGTATTAATCTTACCTTTATGGATTGTTTTGCAAAGACTTGGACGTTCAAGTCCATTTTTGTCCTACTAGTCAAATTACTATTCGCATTTATTCGTAGATTTATTACTAAACTTATCTTTATGGATTGATTGTATTGCAAAGAACTGCGCATTTAAGTGCATTATTTTCCTACTATTTAAATTTGTATCTTGTATCTGCATTCATTCGTAGATAAATTACTAAACTTACCTTTATGGATTGTATTGGAAAGAACTGGACGCTCCCTACCTCAATCTATTATCAATGCTCTAGACTATCTACGTAGAAACGGTAAATACGTATATCATTATAAGAATCTTTAGATAAAATAGTTTTACACTGCTTTGCATCATCTGCTACACTATAGTGCCATACATACACGTAAACTATAATTATACACTCAAAATAATTTCTTATCCTTAGCTATTGAAGGCATCTTTAGAAAAGCTGGCGTCAAATCGCGCGTATCTACACTACGTAAAAAATGTGAAGCGAACAGTAATTTCAACGAATTTGAAAAATCTTATCACCATGATATTGCTGATATGCTCAAGGGATATTTTCGAGAATTGCCTGAACCTGTCTTTAACAGCAAAATGACAGAAATTTTGGTCTTTATAAAATCATGTACATTTAAAATGGAAAAGCTACTGTAAGCCTATATAGAATATATCATTAACGCCTTGTTTTATTACTGTTGTAGATGTTGAAAGTGACTTAAGGTTTTACTATACTCAATTGGCTGTTCTACTGATGCCAGACGAAAGCCGTGATGCCTTAAGATTTCTCTTGGAATTTTTAAGTGATGTTGCATCCCATTCCGATATGCATCAGGTAGGAAATGTTATATCCATACTTGTCTGCCTATAAGTAAATTTCATGTATTTGTCTCTATTTTCAGATGACTATCAATAGCCTTGCTGTATGTTTAAGCCCATCATTATTTAGCGTAGCGAGTCAAACTGGTCCTCTACAAAAGATATTACCATGGCCTTCTTCGCCATCCAATCTTGCCAACAGTAAAGAAATTAATGACAGCGTTGTAAGTTTAATTCGATTATAGCATTCTTTATTTCATGTCTTAAGATTACAATTCTATATACTGAAATGGGTTTATGATGAATCAATCTGGTTAGACCGTCATTGACGTACTTGATTTAATGATTCGTAACCATGAAAAATTGTTTACGGTAAGTCAAAATTATATGTAGAAACTGACATCATAATGTATTCATGGCAAGGTTATTATGCTAAAGAAATGATTCTTCATATACCTCGATTTCAGATTTCATCTGACATTGTCAAGGCTTGCGATTTTACATCGTTGGACCTTGGCCAACCCTTACAACTGTCCGATTTAGGACGACGTAAATCGGATGGAAAGAGTGATTTTAAGAGTTACATTAAGAATGCAGTTGGAATCGTTATAAATGTAATAATAAACCTTCAAATTTTTATCTCATCGTTATTAGAATAATCATTGACACTTCCATTCCAATTTTTAATATTTATTGTTATTCATCACTTAATACTTTATATCAATCTATAGGAATATAAAAATAAATTTAGTGGCTGGGTACCGTACAGTTTGCAAAACGGAATAGAAATTTCATTTAAAAAAGCTAGCGATGACTATCCATTATCGTTAGCCAGAGCTGTTACCACTGTCAATGGTGTTGCTGAAGATATCTTGGAATTACTACTCAATGATAGGTTTGTATAGTATATAATAACATCATGGGTGAATACATTCTTGCGACGCTAAGACTGATTGTGAACAACAAATATTGTAGACATTTGTGGGATAAAATGGTGCAAAACCACAAAGTTGTAGAAACTCTTGATTGCCAAACCGATATTCATTATTATGTCAAAAATTCCTCTTCAATGAGCACTATGGACTCGAGGGATTATTATGCACTACGGTGAGTAAATACATCATAAAACTGTAAAAGACACAGCTAAATTCTACTTTTATCCAAGTACTAGAAATAAACACATTCAACGGTAAAACTCTATATGCTTTATTTTTATCGATTATAGATCTTGGAGAACACATTTACAACGTGGTTCTTGCGTGCTCGTCTCAGCATCGATATCATACAATAGTGCTTTACCTATTGGTGAAACTCGTGGTATTGTTCTAGCTGAGCGATTCTTAATTGAACCAACAGAACGTGGTGAATCTAGATTGACCTATATATTCAGAATTGACGATAGGTAAGTTAATATTTACTCTAATTATTTCATAGTCATTCATCATTTATCTAGGCAATCGAGCGAAATGACTAAAGTGCAAACCTTCTATTTTAACAGAGGCCACGCACCTGACTATTACGAGAGAGGCTTCAATGCCTATCTGGGATTATCCATCGTTAGCGGCATTAAAAAACTAGTTGAAGATTGTAAAAAATAAAAAACCTATTCTAATTCGCTTAGCGAAATCAAATATTAATTAATGAATGAATTAATATCTTTCAAAGATATATTTAACACCAGATCAGAGGAGTAAAACTAATTACTTTTACACTGCTTATGCCTTTCGTTTCTAGTAGATGAAAATTATTATTTTAGATGGGTAGATAGGTGATAATAATAACTTGCTTATTGCTAACGTGCATGATATTTTTGCATGTTTCGTACTATATGAGATTAAGCTTTACGTATTCGTTGCGATATACCGTATACTTTCATATCTTGGCCTAGAACGAATTTGTATAATATACAAAAATGGAATTACCATCGTAATATATAATCTTGTTTAATGCTTTGTCTTTATCTATAAGTTTATTTCTGCTTGATACTTGATCATTTTCTACGCCGTGCCTAAAGTATGGCAACTTTTTACAGAAAGCAACGGTAGTAACTAAGGGCTAAACTATCTTTTCATACAAATTCATCTCTATGTCTTATTTGTTACAGCTGCTTTCCGGTTCTCTTCTTACCTTAATAGCTAATCTTGCATTTTCTAACGTTATACAATGCAATGCATTGCCTTACTGCAGCAGATATGCTTATCAAGGAAAGTTAAAGACACAAGATACAAGTGAAATTTTTACAAATTTATAGGCTACTTATTGTTCAAACTAATGTTTGTCGTTATGGAAACAAGATGATTTAATGTTTGATGACTTATTCTATTGCTGTCTTAGTTTCATGGATGCTCTATATAAATTATCTGTATTATCGCATTAATTTACATTGGAAATTTAGTAACTTTTACATATCAAATGAAACTTTGTTCATTCATTCTTGCTCTCAAATAGCTTAGATTATGAATATGGGATTTCGTATTTACGGATTTACTCTATAGCAATATAGTACTACAGTAATATCGTTCGTTGAATAATAACCTAGTATCTCAGGTTATAACCTTGATTAGAATAAAAAATTTTCAATTTCTAACGATTGGTTTCAGCTATTTACTTTATTGTAAAAGAATGAATCTGAAATGTGATACTATGGCTATACCAGTACGATTCTAATTTTTGACCGTACTATATAGATACAGTTGAGATTTCCGGAAAATTTTCATCAAATGTACAATGATTGGCATACAATTACTTAATTAATTAAAATTAAATTAGCACCTACATCAACATCAGAATCAAAGCATGATATAATATTTAAACATATCCGAAAAGTAAGGATATTTACTAATATAAGAAATATTTTTGTAGAAGAACGAACTGCCGCAAAGCTTAAATAACGTATACTCTAGTGAAAATCTGCAACTATATGAATATTCCACTGTTTCTATTTTAATATCAGTTATTGCAGTATTAGAGTTATGGCTGTCTAGATTTTTAACGCTTTAACATAGTATTAATTATACTTATACCATAGTGTTCTATTTACATGCTGATCCATGAAGAAAAATTAAATTATCACAGGATTAGGTTCTGTCAAGATGAAATATCAATATTGAAATAATCCAGCAAAACCGACCACTGAGACATAATATAACTATTTAACGTAGCGCAAAGCTTAAATAATACATAAATAGTGCAATGCACGTAAAGTGAAACGTCATAATGTTTAGTCTTTTGAAAATCATTCCCGTAATTCTGTCGTATGAAATTAAACTATGCTGATCTAATATTCCACATATGCATGCGTACAATAGCAAACTTAAAATATGTAGGGAACTTGGACATTGATATCTGTGTTAATCATTAGCTATTTACATGTACTCGATGAAGAAAATTGCTCTATGGCCAATTTCACATGGAGTGAGGAATATCCTTTTCTTTTTACCGGCAATTTTAAAGTTGCTATCATGAATTTGCATTTTTGCGCTATTTATATGTACTCGTTGAAGAAGATCCGTTGGAAATTTTACTTTAAGCTAGAAATATCCATTTCTTTCACCGGCATTTTTTAAACTTGCTATCGTGAGTTTGGATTATCCGCTATTTACATGTACTCATTGAAGAAGAGGACACTGCTATGAATCTTACATCAAGCTAGAAATATCCTTTTCTTTTTGCCGGCACTTTTTTAGTTTACTATCATGATTTTGGATCATCTGATGCAATTCTAGTTAAAAATACCGGAGTTAAAGTTTCATCTGTGTAAAGCCACTTTTTAAATATAAAATATTAAAGGCACAAATAATAAATAAAATTAGCTACATGCAGAACCTGTATTATCTTCTTCTAATCGCCCTCCCAACCGCTTCAATGCGTTCAATCGAAGCCGTAAACGTTGATAGACGTCTTTATTCAATACCTGGCCGGTTAATTGATTCCTTTCATTCATCGTTGAATTATATAATAAACTGTCTACAATTCGTTTCGGTATGAGAATAGTTAGTAAATGCTTAATCATGTAAACAATAACGTCATTGCTTTATTACAAATTTTTATATAACTCATCCAATTAATATAGGTACCGTCAGTAAATGATGACAAGTTGTCGGTATTTTCGAATTTAGCGGATAAATTTAGACCCTGTCCTGATGCCGATGACTTTTCATCCTTTTTTACAGTTGATTGATCACTAGCATCCTGCGTTATCTCAGAGAGATGAAAAGCGGACGTTGAAGATTCATGTTGATCCTTGGGTACTCTAGACGATATAACTAATTCAACCGTTGAGGATGATTGGTTATTGTCCATTAAAATGTCTAATTGCTGTTGCCTGAGAACATTAATGTCGTGCAGTAGCTGTTGATGGATATTAGGATGTAAATTATGCAATTGTTTTCCTGTAGGAACGGAATTGAACTAATGGAAGACGATAAAATAAGAAATTAGCTTTAAGTAAAATAGTTACAAACTATGCCAATAATTACATAAATTCTGAGGGATTATTACTTCCTCACATAAAATGTATCAAGGAATCATGAATCAAAGTTTTTAGATTAATTTATACTTGATCAGCTGGAGTTTCAGTTTGAAGTTTACGGCTAATTTCGTCAGCTTTAGGGTTAGAGTGATCACCATGCTACATACGCGTATAGATTATTATGATTTTACGTCTAGCATAACTGCAAATATTAAATGTAGCAGTGCTTCTGTTATGATCAGTTACCGATTCAACAGTATTTGTTTCTGAATTGATTGGTGGTAAACCAGTTTTCGCACTTCTGTAACAGAAAAGCAAGAGTTTACGTTACTTGTAAAGTCTATCTGATCTATGGAGAATAACTATTAGGCTTGCTACCATGTTAACCTTAAAGCATCAATATCATTTGGCAGAGATGGTAGAATTTTGGCGTGCTTAACTTGAGTAGCCTAGAATATATTCCGAGCATGATTAGTTAGTATTCATAAAATTATTGACGCAATCATGTTAATGATTCAATAGATTGTAGCTTATTTGTAAGGAATGATTATAATTTCCCCTTGCCATGTTCTGAAGTAGTTATAGCAAAATAGAACTTACTTGATTCATCTCTTCAATTCGTTTTTCTGCCAAGGTAACAATTGCAGCTTGATTTATTTTAGCCTAAGCGAATAATGAAATCTCAATATAATTATATTCTATTCAATCTCCTTCCTTCTTCTACATACTTTACTATGCTTTGCTTTAGAGGATAGAAAGATAATCGTGTTTGCATAAGTGATATAAGCATAATCTTACTTGTTCAACGGACATACGTAGATGATCTATTAATTGATCTTTAAAACCAATTTCTCCCCTCAGCAATAAAATTTCAGCCTGTAAATTCTCATTGGAGGCTTTGGAATGTTTTAGACGCTCGGTCAAGTCTTTTGCCAGTCGTTGACTACTTTTTTTATCCTGTTATTAATAGGCATGAACCAAAATAACTTTAAACTATTTCCATATGCATAATAGATGGTGATTAAAGCCATTCGTAAAGGTACCGCTTAGGGTATAATTAATAAAAATAACATTGCTACATAGTAATAGTACATACGTTATAAGTATAGGAAGAAATACTGGATAATATTATCCTATTAATGACCGTTAACACCTCACTAATACACACATTTTGTGCAATTAGGGAAGATAAAATTATTCTATAAGTTTCTTAAGGTAATGAATGGAATTATAAGCATATAGACTAAAAAATTCTCATTAAACAAGTTATGAGCAAAAAGAAATAAGTACAGGTAATATTGGATGTTAAATTGGACAAAAATTCATCCAGATACGGTTCTATAGGATATAATTTATAAGTATAGTATAGTAGTCTTTATTCCTAACGATCTATCATCAATAGCACGATAAAAATCGAACCTTTAACAATGTTTCACGCTCTTCAGCTAACCAATCTAATCTGTAATTATCAATAAAATATCAATTTAAAAGTCATTTCAGATGTTCTAAACTATTGTGATGTTCTCATAATAAGATATAAAAGGATCTACATTTTAACATCGGAAATATATTTTGAGGTATTGTGACTTGGTCAAGTATATTATTGAAACGGTTATCATCACCTTGTTAATAATGTGTCAATTTCCTTGCGCATATTTGTAATTTGTTTCTGCATTTTGAAGGCTGCTTTGCATACTAAGACGGAGAAAAATTTTTAACATAAAAACTTGCGATGCTACAGGCGTCGACAAGTATGATTAAAAACGAATCTACAGGACAGTCTATTTCGCCTGATTTAGCTATTGAACTATATTTTAGCTAAGATAGTGTGAAGGTGTGAACTGAAAATTTCATTTCATTGCAAATGTCCGTCTCTTACTATCATTATGCGTTTGTCCTTTGGATATCAAATCTCGATGAGCTACATCCAAGTCTTTCTGATACGCTAATAAAAGAAATTGAAATGGATTTACTTTATCATAGTGGCAAGTTCCTTGTTTGTTAGAGTGTAGCGGTAGATAAATTCGAAGTACAGTGAAGTATCTCACTTCTAAACAAGTACTATCAACAAAATATAGTACAAGTTTCAATCATGTTGTAATAAAGATAGTAAGAACCTTTAAATCGTTCCATAACGACACTTAAATCAGACGTTTGCTTGGCTTGTTGATTTTGGTGTGGTTGATGACCACTTGTTTTTATACTATTATCAATGATTGTTTTATTTTTCTGATACTTTTGACCAGTTTGTAAAGGCTGAGTAGCCCAAGATTTATACTGTTGAGTTATCGTGGCATGATCAAAATGATGTAATGGATTTATTCCAAGGGAATCTTGTAATTTACCGACCATCTTGAATAAATTATTTCTTTCTGCTAGTAATGTTTGTATTTCTTGACGACATTCCTCTAGTAGTTGTTGCTGTTGTTGCAGCGAAGTAATCTTATTCGTTTTAACGATTAATTGAGATTGAAGATCTTGAACTTGCCGTTGTAATTTAGCAATATCTGTGGTATATTTTGCTATTTCAACGCCCATCGTACCTTGTAATACTTTGCAAGTGTTTAATTTTTGGTCTTGTTGATGGCTATGTTGCTCTAGGTAATTGATTTGTTCTATTTTTTCTTGCAATTGCTTTTTCAATTCGTCCATGTTATTCATTTTTATATCCTGAATATTACTGGAGCTGTGACTAGATATAGCAGAGTAATGAGCATTTAAAGTAATATTATCTGCTTTGGTATTGGTTTGATTGATTGTATTTGGATCATTTTCAATTAAATTGTGATTGTGTGCTGTTGTCTGTGTTATCCTATCGCTATCTCGAATGTCATTGGGGCTATCATATCTATCGGTGGTTGCTTTAGTCACGAGAGTCTGTTTCATATTGGGTCTTGTAAGAAATGGACTGGCACTTGTATTTTGCTCCTGAATTGTTTGTACCGCTTTATGCATTAAGGTCTTTTTCTGACTAATTACAGCAGCGGATACAGTATAGTCATGATGACTATTTGTGTTATAGCGATAATCTCCTATGTATGTCTGATTTGTTTGATTGATGTCATGCATTGGTTGATAAAGTCGCACTTTTAAAGCATGATAGCAAGTTTCTAATCGGCGGGGTAGAGCGTAAATATTGTCTTGATGGTTATCCGATGTTGCAGCAGGTTCATTGGTTAAATACAATGCAGCTTCTATTTGTTGAATCAAGTCAGCAATAGGTGATAGTATTTTATGTTGATAAGTAGAAAATTGGATCATTTCACCATGCAATTGAACTTTCTCGTCCGTAATTTGCTCGACTTTGGATTTCCAAGCATCTCGTTGGCGATTGGATCTTGCTAGCTCATCGGTTAATAGACGAAGTTTTTCTTCTTTAGCTGCAATAGAATGTTTTAAGATGAATAATTTATCCCATTCTTGCTGCTGTTGATAACCAAGTTTAGTGGATGATTGCAGATCGACTGTAGTGTCATCGTCACCATTCATCTTTTGAGTGGATAGGAATAGTTGTTTTTGCTGAAAATCAATTTGCATGTATATGCTATGGGAAAATTACGCGTATACTAGTATGTCCATTGACTTGTTTACGATGGACTTTTTAATGGGATGAATTGCTAAGTTGGTCAATACACTTATTATGGATTGTATCGCTATTTTATGACATCACTGTGTGCTAGTCAACAGTCATTCTAGCAAAGGTGGATTGAATGGTTATGATTATTTTGTTGTCAAATTGACGAGGCTTAGCCTTGTGTCCAGCTAATGCAATGATTGGATAAACAAGTTGGCGCAATGATGATGCCTAGTGATAATGATCTTCTTGTACGCGTTGGAGAGCGTCTATTGCAATAATGGACTATTTTATTTATTTTATTGGAGGAGAAATTAATTCTGGCCAAATTGCGCCTATTGACACTCTCTACTCAGTCTTTTAAAGGTAAGTTATGGAAAATCAGCAAAGGGTAGGATTTGAGAATGGACGTCGAGTAAGTTGTGGAGTAGTATAGAAATAACGTCGTCTTTAATACTGTATGCGTTTATTCTATACCGTAGAGAAGTGTAGACTAGGATAGTTGTGTAATCCACTGTCATTATCCATGGCTTGTAAAAATAGCCCTAGGCAATATCGTTTGGCGTTGATGTTGAACGATAATCACTTACGGTCATCATATGAACAAACTGCTTGATACTGATCGTCCATCGAATAATTAATCAACTTGGGCTACCGTATCGTATCTGAAAGGCTTGACAACTTGCTTATATCAGTCAAAGGGATAACGTCTACCGATCTCATATACAATCACACATCATAGTAGTAAGTTTCAATCATTTTACACTAAATGACTGGTTCATTCTCGTTGGAAAGTAATGCCTATGCTTAGAACTGGATGCTTGCGATGGTGATCGATACCTTGCATCCATGAATGCGGCAGAAGTGAGTGTTGTTGCTAAGGTTACCCGACCTGGAGCTCGCCACGCCCTTACCGGTCTGGCAGCGGGACTGTACTGGGTACACTTGGTACTCAATAAT